TGTAGGATAGGCTGTAGAGTAGATAGGGCGCCTGGCGCCATTCACAAGAGAGAGCTACATTTGGGTTATGCTGTTGGTGTTGCCCTGGTGGGCATGGACATTGACTCACGATTCTTCTGTATCATTCTCAATGGGATGGTTACTCGGTTCCATGTGCTATCTGCTTTGGCTTTGAATACTTGGACTTCAGTGTGATTTTGCATTCTGGATTTCTGTGCTTCGTCCATACTCATGTTCCTTGCACTTGTACAGACAGGGGAACTTTGGGAATTCTGGGGCGGCTTGGGACTTGGCGCAAAAAAGTGTGAAATCCTTTCAGAATTATACTCATTCTTTGTAATTTTTCTGAACGGATGTATTATAATAATGTGACAAACCGTTTGTGGAGATAAACAAAAAGGGGATGTTTGCAATAGGGCGGAGGAGCGGGTTGTCGGGGAAAGATTGAGTGAGTGGCTTTGGGAAGAAGAGGGAAAATCGAGGACACACCACTATCTTCCCGCTCTGAGTTGTTTTGGTGGAATATGTGTGTCTGAGTCTCTGTACAGGTATACAAGGCAAGCATGTTTAAGGCGTTCAAGAAAACACTTGAAGAAGGCCGATTCACATTCATCATTGGTATATATGGATTGCACTCTTACTTGTAGTTCGTTTCAGTTCTGTTGGTGTTGCGATCTTGGATTTGGCTTCATGTTTGCATTGTGTGAAGTTTTAATCTCGATTACGTTCTCCCTATCAATGTCATGACATAAAAAATGCTCACTAGACTAAGCTCTGGGCAAAGTATATTTTGCAGTCAAGTCCTACTCAGATAATGTTGACCGTCAATGACCATTCGACGACCAGTTGCAAGGGTGATAAGACTGCCAGTCTGAGCTCAATTCAAGAACTGTAACAGAGTTGGAGTTTGCTGCTTTGCGATCTTGGGTTGTTTGCCTTTCTACACCTTGGGTGTGCTGGGGTATTGCAAGCATTTCAAAATTGTCCGCATGGAAAAATCATTCAAAATGCTTCAAGTACGATTTTCTGGCTGGAGAAGGGGTAGCGGCAGTGATTGTTTAACACATACATACTATTTGTTAGTCTCTTGGTTCCTCTGTGTCCACCATAATCACACTGCTTTATCATGTTTCCCTTAGTTTTCTCTCTGTTGACACGTCTAGTCACGCAGTTCAACATGTGCTAAATCGTCTGCCACTGCTTGATAGAAGTCTTTCCTTCGCGATTAGGGGGCTTAGTGTGTCCATGCTGCCTGTGTGTCTGCTGTGTCGCCTCATGATGACACACATTCATCTCGTCACTCACGATTTCTTGATGGTGGCCTGAACCTACATTCTGCAGAGTGCTTGATATTGCGTGAGGAGTCTTTCCTACATTCTGCAGAATGCTTGATAGAAGTCTTTCCTACATTCTGCAGAATGCTTGATATTGCATCCATCCATAAATCTGATCCACCCATTTCTCACCCGCCTGACCTGCCCCTCTCTCATCCACCTAGCCCCGCTTGCTCCCCTTCCCCAAATGACAATGACTCGTCTTCTGATTACCTGATGGAGACCCCGACTGAAGATGATCTCTCTCCGGACTGCGTACTAGAGCCAATGGATTCAATACAGCCAGAGGAACCTGACAGAAATAGTCTCCGCCACGGGAATCAGATGATGTCATAGCGCTACAGTGAAGCCGCTGTGCTTTCTATGCCATTGATGTATGTCTCCTTGCTTACAATTGTAACACTTACATGGTTTCTGATTCCACAGGCATTATCCGCTGGATAGAAGAAGAGCACCGTGCCCTCTGCCCGGAGGATGACAGTACTGCACCTGGTGTGAACACAGAAGTCCTGTCTATGACATTTATGGGTAGGCGACTACAATTCCAGCCTGCTCCACAAAACCATGTGCCAGGCATGGATCCGAATACTCGGGCATATATCTTACATCGTCCAGGTCATTTCAGTGCTCGTACATTTGCCGATAATTCATGGGCCCTATGGGACAATGGCGGTAGGGTGCACACAGCGGGAAATGTAAACTCTTTGTATCACCAAGTGTTGGAGGATCACTCGGTCTGGTTCACCCATCAGAAACAGTATGTCGATGAGCACTTGCAAGCACTGCACCCCCCGGAGAGCAATATGACGGATTCTACCACAAACAGTGAAGGAACCTCTACAGAGGATGGTGGCCGTGCCCTCCCATTGTGTCGTCTCACAGTTACAGTTCGGTTGGGATGTACATGGCATAGCCTCTGGTCCAAACACTATGAAGGTTGCTGGCAGCCTCTCCCACAAAAACTGCGATCCCTTGTCTTGTGCTCATCCCCCCCACCCTCTGATTACTTGCCCAGCATGCCGCTGTGGCCTTGATCTGCCATGCTTAAATAACTGCGCAAGTCAGCCTTCTATACTGATGACATGTCAGAACATGCCATGTGTCGTCAATGTTTCCATGAAGCTGTCATAGAAAGCATGTGTCTTTACTGCGTGGACCCCCCCCGGTGGCATCATCCGCTAGATCCTCTCCTAGCATGTCCCACATGCGCTGTTCGTCATACACCTACAGCAATCGCAGGCGGATCTCCATCTTCCTTGCCAGATGAACGACAGACACCGCAGCCTGATGAGGAAAATAGGCTTCCATATGAACCACCTGCGGAGTGATGTGCTGCTAGTTTATCACCAGGGCGAGCTGTTGTGGACCAAATCCTGCATCAGCTGAACACCCTTGCTTTGGACCGATCCTCCCTGTCATCGTCTGCCCATAGAGAGAATAAATACTGAGGAAACCCAGGAAAGATGCTCCATGCCGCTTTGTGATGACCCGCCGGAGACTCAACTAGCATGTGGTTCGCATGGCTTGTGCCGTGAGGATTATGAAGGGATAGTCCATGTGAGTTTTTGCCTTCATACGTACGGCAACAGTCAGTATTGTACTCATGTACGGCACCCTGACATGTCATGTCCAATTTTTAGACGGGCTGGAACAGCGATGCCTCTATAATTGTGGCCAGTGTGCCTCCGTGTTCCTATCATATAGGAGCCACGTAGTCTGTGACATCTGTCTGCGCTGTGCATTCGATGCAGCAACTGCGACTGCGAAAATTGGATGCGGTGCTTCAACAGTCCACACCCGAACTGGTCCTGTCCGGTCTGTTGGGGTGGCCACTTATCATAGGCATAGCTGCTCCTCGACTCAAAATCTTATGCAACCCAAACACTAACTGACCTCATGTGCCATTCTAGATTAGTCTGTTCTAGCGGTGAGTACTTAGAATTCTGCGAATTGTAATATACCTCTCCCCTGCCCTTTGCATGTCATACTCTATCCTACCCTTCACATATATTTCTCTCCTGCACTTTGCACTCCACGTCCCCTTACCCCACACTCCTATAGAACTCCACCTTCTGTCCCTTTCCCTCTACCTTCCCCTTATGTGCTCCTAGTAAATACGTACGAATGAGCGTCGTTAAGAGAACAGACAAAGTATAAGCCGAAGATCTGAAATGAAATGAACAGGAGTATGAAGACAAACGACAGACGAATGAGCGCCATTAAGAGAACAGACAAAGTATAAGCTGAAGATCTGAAATGAAATGAACAGGAGTATGAAGACAAACGACAAACACAAAGACTAAGTATAAGCTGAAGATCTGAGGCGAAATGAACAGGAGTATGAAGATCTGCAGTGAAATGCACAGGAGCATACCTTCCCCTTTACTCTGCCTCCTGTTGTAACGTGCGAGTGGGGTTAAGGCACACGGGGATGTGGGCAGCTGCCGCTAAACCACCATCAACGTAGGCAGCCTTGTACGTGCGAGGCTAAAGAGGTGAAATTCTTTACTGGTTGAGCTGGCTCAACTCAAGTCTACTCATCTGCGTGGAATAGAGGCTGTTGTGGTGCTAATTTTCAAAAACAGAGAGAGAGAGAGAGAGAGAGAGAGAGAGAGAGAGATCTATAAACTGACAATTCCTGACCAGATGGTGTAATGTGGGGCCGAGGATAAAGCTGTGGTTGGTTGTTCTGTTGAGCAAAGCTACCTGTTTCTGATAGTTAGTCTGGCTCGCCGTGGTAACCAAAGGAAGGAAACGAAAACTCAAGAAACAGGAAGGTTGTTGCATGTGTTTGAGTGATTCTGTATGTTCTTTGCTCAACTGATTGTATGGCGGTAATGTGGCGTCGGATCTCTTGTGGTGATGGATTCTATTCTCCCAATCAAATGATGTGTGGATATTTGACAGATTCTCTTGTACTGTACTTTTCACCCTTCTGGGCGCTGGTGGCATTGCTGTACTTCTCAGGGTACTCCAGATTGCTTTTGTATGACTTGCACATCTTTTCTGTTTTTTTCTTTCTCTCATGACTAGTTCAAAGCTTTTGTTTTTCACTCTTGTTCTCTTTGCACTGCGGTTGGCAGTGTGAAGGCCTACTCTTGTCAATCAAAAAGAACGAACCAAAAGAAGGAAAGCCCTGGAATCCAACAACTCGCATGGTTTTGTGTATGTAGTTTTTGTCAGTGGCCTTATATGGTACTGCGAGGAATCTTATTCTCCCTTCTTTGGTCTGGTTGGGCAGTGCTTCTTTCCTGCTCCCCCTGAGATTATTGGTGGCCATCTTGGGAACAGGTGTCATTCTTTTTCCTTGCAATATGGATTCAGTTTGTGTGTGGGATATTTGCGAGGTGATGCGTGCTATTTAGTCTGTTGGGTTTGTGGTGGTTCATTCTCTTGTTTGTTTTCTCCCACTTTCGGTGATGTGTTTGCCTCTACAAAATTCTGCAAGGCTCTTCTGGCCCATGCCATCCTGGCATTTTCCTCCTTCGCCTCACCTTCTTTTCTTCTCTTGTTTGGAGTTTTCTTGAGATTGACATGGCTATATTTGCTTGTTGCTGTATCATTTGCAATTTATTGTTTAAGAAGTCTAGGGCCGTCATTTCAGCGGTCCTAATTGTGAACTCACCAGTTCTTGGGATTCCTCACCGTTGCTATCCGGCCGTTCTTTTGCTCGTGACAATCCATTATATTAGTGGATGATCGCAATGTACTTGTGGCTGATTTTTCACAATACTGGGCGGCAGCAAAGGTATTTTCACACTGCAGCTCTGTTTGATTTTGCCTATTCTCTCCTCTTTTTGTGCTTCGTTTTCTTGAATCAGCTCTGGCTTGAATCTGTGGGCCATAATAAACCCTGCCAGCTCTAACCCTAGCAGATCCCCTCATCAACTCCCTGCGAACTTGACGTCTCTCTCACTGTTCCCTTCTCTCGTCCCTATCCCCAGTCTTACTTCCCCTCCCTTGCTTCCTCCTCCCCCCCCCCTCCTTCCCTGTTCCCTGCCTCCGCAATTCTGACAAAAGTATTTTAGAAAACTTTGATTCCTGTCTGCATCCCTTCGGTTTTTCCTTGTTTACATTGCATCTGTGCAGCAGTGGATCTCTACAATGTCACACTGGCTCCTCAATTCTGACAAAAGGATTTTAGAAAACTTTGATTCCTGTCTGCATCCCTTCGGTTTTTCCTTGTTTTCATTGCATCTGTGCAGCAGTGGATCTCTACAATGTCACACTGCTAAGATACCACGTGTTGCAAGCAGTTTTACTCATGGTGCCAGCTTGAGTGTAGGAGTTATCATCTGACCGTCCTTTATTAGGCAGCACTACATTTGGGATCATTCCGTTCTTCTGTAGCTCCGGTGCCGTGTTCGTACTCTAGAGCACGAGTTACAGAGATAACTGTTGCCCACTGACTTTGTATTTGCCTCACAATTAGGGGTGTTCATTGCTGCTGTAAAGCCATTAGTCATTCCAATTTAGTTTTGGGCCTTTCAACTTTTTGCCAGGCTTGTTCTGATGAATGAAAGTATCTCTGAATCACCTGGGGCTGGTCAATTTGATGATGATACCTCATGCGCTGGTTTTCCTTTTCAAAGTATGTGCATGCGTGTATGTGCATCAGTATGGGTTCTTTTGTGTGTGAACATGATTGTGTGTGTGTGTGTGTGTGTGTGCGCGGGTGCATCATGTTTGAGGTGAGGGAGATGAGCATTCAGAGGTTGGGGTACCAAGGGGATTGTGGTTGAGAGGATGGTAGTTGATGTGCTGCAGGTTCTGTATAGCATGGTGGCATGTTTTATAGTTGGGTTCTTATGTTTGTACTTTTAGGTGGTGCATACAAAGTGAAGCCTTTCTTGAACATGGTATCAATGAATGGAATAGTGGCTCTGTTGCAGCTGTGTTGTTGAGAAAGTTTCTGGAAAGAATGATATGAATCTGTGAACTTCAATGATTGACTGTTTTCTATGGCCGTCTAACAAGAAGCACAAAGCTTGGGTGTGAACTTGAGAGTGCACCTGGGTTTGAAGCATCAGGCAGTATCATCGCTATAGAACAACAAGAAGGCTAATGACCACTTTAAACTTGGATGCTGAAAGCAGCAGTGCATGTTCACCACTGGAACTGGCCTGGAGCGACTGTTATGGTGACCTTGGATGATCAAGCCTTCTCTGGAATCTGTCTACCTTCTTCATCGGAATAAATGTACGGTCATGATAGTGGTATCTGGACTGAAATGCAGCCCAAATTCAGCTATAATGACCGCACGTTTTATCGGGTGAAGAAGGTAGTAGGCTAATGGAAACAAGGTTAATTACTGTGTTAAACTGAATGATGATTGTCAATCTTCAGCATGGGAACCACCCAATATGTGTTCAAGATGTTTGTGCTGTGTGAACTTGCACGATGGCGAATGTTTACCCCACCAGATCGTGGGTTATGAACCTCAATGTAGAATTATGTGCTAGTAGAGTTTGAGAGTGTGGCTATACGGGTGGACTTACCAATGATGAGAAAGCGTGAATTGGTTTAGTAGTCCGTTTCTTTTTTAAGTTTGAAGCCTACATGGCATACAGTGATTGAGAGAGTCTTGAAGAGTTCTTTTGGCATCCTTCTCACCAGTAGCTTGTGTGGCTTTTCCGTGTGATCTTGTTCTGTGGTACTGTGGGGGACAACGGCTCTTCGAGACGGCTGATGATTTTTGCGATTCAACACTGTGGTGGGTATTTTTATCATTTCCCTTGGGAGCTACTGTCTGTCTGCTCTTTCTCAACTCTTGTTGTTCTATTGCCGGTGACCTCTACCCCTTGGTTCTTGTCACTTGTTAATTCATGTCTCGTTTTGTTACTGGGTGATCGTCCTTTCAGAGGTCGGGATATGAAGTGTATGTCCTGGACGCAACATTCAAAGACCCAATTGTAAGTAGTGAGTGACCTTGTTGGAAGTGAAGCTCAGAGCATAGCATACCTAGGCTGTTGTGAGTATTGGTTGATTTGCATGGTTATGTGGATGGGAAATTGTTTCGTGATTGTAGGTTACCAGCTTCTTCCTTGCTGCCAAACTGTAGGGAAAGAGGACAGTGTATCATGGGGCGACCCCAGTTATGGAGGTTCTTTTTTAGACAAATCACAAGCACTGAAGCATGGGTGGCCTTTTTCTGGAAGGAGGTACAGAAACAAACCTTCTGCACAATGTGCATGGTTGTTCATGGATGGGCGGGTTTCGCAAGACATTCCTGTGTTACACAGGTCGTAGGATGTGAACGGACTTCTAGATGGTTATATACAGGGACAACAGAGACTTGATCCACTTATGTGATTTGATACAATAGGACTGCGAGGAATCTGGGAGAGAGGACAAAGATAGAATGAACTCGTCATAGCAAGATTGAAACAGCACTTTTGAACCTCTTGTAACTCGGGGATGAATTGTAGTGAACTCAAGATGAGTTAACAACACTGATCTGTGCTATGTTTGCAGCTCACTGAGGCGGTGGGCAATGTGTGAATCCCCAATGTGTGTGCAACGCCACGCACCATGCACCTTGATCCACGATGTGCTATGTGCCGTGCGCAGCATGAGCCTGGGGTGCGCCACACGCCGGGGCGCTGACTGGTGTGCCACCCACTTTCCCCTGTGCTGGTGGTGCACTATGCTCTTAATTTTTTTTTTTTAATGTATGTTGTAGGTTGCACATGGGCTTTCGGGGATTTCGGCAGCTCCCTACCCTGTGCCTCTTGAATGAATTCGTTGTAGAAAAGCTTCAGAAAACGAAAAATGAGCAATTAAGCTTTGAACTTCAAAGTTCAAAGTTCAAAATGAAGTCCCTCCAGCATGCTTCCCGTCATCGTCATTATCAATGATAGTGAGCACCGCATGTCTTGTCCGTTTGGGCTCTACCACTTCGGCTGCTGCCTTGGCAGGCAGCATTCTCTGCAGCCTTGTCGGCTTTAAGCGCTGCATCATCTGCCTTTGCAGGATGCCCCCTTCTCCCCTTCTACGGTGTCTCATCACCTCCCTCTTCACCTTCCACAGTGTCTCCACATCTCCATTTGCCTTCTACCTGTAGAAGCACCTCACTGCCGTCCACCCTTTCCTCCAGTCACTGTCCTCACGCTCTTCGACGCCTCCTTCCCGCTGTGTACCCAGGCCCTTCATGTACAGTAGTGCTGGTTCAGGCTGAGTGACACCCAATCTCCTGTGCAGCTCTCAGTCTCCATGTCTCCCGGGCGTCATGCATTTGTGTCAATCTTGCTCCTGAGGATCAAGAAGAGTAATGTGCTCCATGTCATCGCCCTAATCATCTGCTTTTCATCATTGCATAACCATGCTCTCAACAACAGTTCTCCTCCTGCCCCATCAGCAGTTTCGTCATCAGTGAGCTTGTCAACATCGTCGTCCTCGATTTGCTGCACCGATTTGTTCCAATATTCTGATCTCTGCCTGCAATGGAATATCCTCGTCTCATAGGATGTGCATAACTCCTCACTGGTGCGTTTGTTCCTTCGGAACAGGTGGATGTTCCAGTTGTTGTAAACTACCTTCTGTAGTCTCTCTGACAACATCTCTGGGCCTTCTACCAAGGATGAGCCTGTGGAAGCTCCAATTTTGCCCGCATGCTGCGCAGGAGCTTGCTTGGGGAACTGGATTGCCTGCAGCACGAGGAATTTCTACCTGAATTCCCCATCACAATGTATGTGTCTGATCGCGCCCCTGTTTCTTGATGTTGGACACCGAGAAACCTCTTGCATGTGCACCCATTGTTACACCTGGAAGCGAACTTCTTTGAGGTTATCTCGCGGTGCCCACCAGTATAGCCGGATGTTGAACCTCGCATGAACCTCATGGTCACGTTGACGTCCCAAGTCTGGTATTCCTGGTGAAGGAAGCCGGCTGCACAATGCAGCTCGCTCCATGAACACCAACCGGTCCGTCGAAATGCACTCCACGTCAGCGTTTTTGTTACATGCCCAGTTGGGCGATGTATGTAAATAGCCAAGGATCCGCAATGTGATGAAAAGGACTGAATGGACAATGCAGTGCTTGTGGAATCTCAACAAACAATGTACATCCTGATACATACAAAATGGCGCCTTGTGGCGCAGCGGAAGACTTAGATATAAGCCCTGACCTGAGCGGGACTGACTTCTCTCACGAAGTGCAAGACAGCGCAGCAGAATGCTAGAATACCAATGACTAGCCCAATCAATGTCGCAATACAGACCAAACATACATCATCCTCATCACAAGCTGTGAAGGGGGGCCTGGCGCTACACACAGGAAGAATGCGCCAGGTCCAGACCATACACAGAAGAAGAGGAGGGAATCAGACGGAGAAGAAGGGGGAAGATGGGAATGTCGTCAAATGTCTGAAGTCCAATGTCGAGTCTGGATCCAAATGTCACCAAGCCCGCTCTCGCATACTCTGCTGATGCAGTGAAGTCAGATAGCGAGAGGGTGAGAGGGAGATGGTGGACTGAGAAGAGGAAGAAGACGAACTCTCTCTCTCTCTCTCATGTGACAGGTACTAACCTGTGAAGATGGCGCCATGCTGCAGGTACCTCGAAGGCGAAGCTGGAGCTATGGCGCTGCAGGTAAGTCTCCCTGGCCTCCGCCCAATCTCTCTCTCTCTCTCTAGTACTACTCTAGCTCTGAATGACCCCCAGTGCTGAAGACTACTGTTAACGCTACTAGCGCCCAGCGCTGAAGACTACTGCTAGTGCTACTACTACTCCTGCAGCGCTCCTCCAGAGTGCTGCTGCCGAATCCTGAAGGCTACCTCCTGCCTCCTGAACTGCACGTGAAGTGCCTGGGAAGTACCTAGGAACTACCTGCAACCTGCAGGGCGGGCCAGTCTTATATAGTGCTGGCCCAGGAGGCTGCTCTTGCCAATGCCAAAACGTGCCAAACCCTGGGGTTGAAGCTCAAACAAAGGTTGTCTTGAAAATAGGCCAAAAATGGCCTGAGCTAAAACCCTGGTCTGGTGCCTATGTTTCAGGGCAGGTCGATCTTATGAGGGCCTGAAAATGGCCCTCCGTTTCAGGCTGAAAAGACTCAGGTGAAACGGTATTCACCAGTTCGCAGTAGCCGATGCAGATCCCAGGTCGATCCCTAGTCCTCACCTTACCTGTGTACAGTATCTGCGTCGACCCCTAGAGTTGAACCCGTGAACTGTGTATTCGTAACAGTTGGTAGACGGTCGTAGGGTCCGTAGGCAGTAGGGGTTTGATCCGTAGACCTGTGGGGTAGGAGTCCTAGCAGGGTCTGGCAGGCGTAGCTGCTACAATCCAGAAAGGTCAAGGTCGTAGCTGCTACAGTATTGAAAGGCCAAGTCTACGGCCTTCCGGAAGGTCCTAGCAGTGGCCTTTCGAAGTTGCTCACGTTTAGGCTGAGTTTAGGCTGAGGCAAGTGGGCAAGTGGTGGAGTCTACCCGTGCTGAGTCAGCAGTCCCAGTCCCAGTCAGTCCTTGTCCAGTCAAGCAAGTACCGCATGGGACTGTGTGCACCATGGGCATGGGCAAGGGCCAGACCAACGAGCTACAGAAGTATAAATCAAAGGGCCGCGCCCAGTCATTCATTCATTCCTGCGTGAGGCATGCGGAAGCGCTGCCACAACAACTTGTGCGAGGTGGTCTGCAGTGAGCCTGAGGGTGAAGTGGGCGAGAGAGAAGAAGCTTAGCCATAGCAATAGGGTAGCAGCGGCCATAGCCGCCATAGCTGTAGATGGCGTGCAGTGTATGTGTGTACAGAGTAACGCGTGTGGGACATCCAGGGCGATCCTGTGTGTGCGAACAGAGAGCTGTGTCGCCATAGCCATTGAAGTGAACTTGTATCTGAACTGTGTTCTCGGCAACCATATCTCTGAGTTCTGATTGGGCGCTTGTCGCCAGTTTGCTGCGCACCTGTTTGCATGCATGAGAAGTGTGAAAGATAGCGAGTCCGATTGCACAGGGCCTGGAGGGCCCTGTTTTAGGCTGAAACGACACAGGGCCTGTAGGCTCTTGTTTTCAGGCTTTCAGGAAAGCCTGAAAACAACACGGGCCTGAAAATGGCCCGTGCAGCCTGTTGCAGGCGCAGCATGTAACACTTTTCCTTTCTGAAATGCAATTGTGTCCCCACATCTCCTCGACAACCATGTCTTGTGCGATATGTACAACTTCGAAATTTATACACCCGGGCTGCTCACCAAGCGAAGAAGTCGCACAATTATGTCTTTCTCCTTCCATTCCATGCGAACTGACTTCCAGTAGACAGTCCCAATCAGGGTTGACAACATGACGTTTAGATGTGGTCTCTTAAGCCTGTCAGACCACCCATCCATTTGCAGCCACTTGTTCACTGTGGACTGCACCTTGTCCTGAGTTCTCTTGAACTGCCCGTCCAGTCTTTGTGTTCCTGCCTAATCTCTTTTGTCCTGTATAGAGTTCGCTTGGGCTTTCTTCACCTGGTCATCTAATTCCAAGAACTCGTTCTCCAGAATCTCCACCTGGTGCACATCATCCTCTTATGGAGCAGACAAATGGACTGCTCGGGTGACAACGCTGTCATTTCCTTGATTATTGTCTGCCTGAATGGTCGCCCCATTGGTGGCCCTGCGGCAACGGTAGGCCCTGTGCTTACTTCAGTCTTTGCTCGATTCACCCACAATTCTGCTATGAGCTCCCACAAACCTGGCCCGAAAACTGCTAATGGAGTGCCCGTTGGTGGGACCTGTGCCTCCTCCCCCTCTGCCATGACGCTGACCAACAATGTACTACCACTGGCGAATTCCAGCCAACCTCCTCACCCTCTCCTCCTCGGTACCAGTCTCGTGATGAGGTCAAGTCTGGATTTCCTCAAGAAGTGAGCCTTGACCTATCGTCAAACCGGGTCTCACAGTAGAGAATGATAATATAAACACAATGGGATAACTCAGAAGA